AGCCGACCCAAGCAATTTAGCAGAATAACATGATGGATAGATTTTGAAAAAAAGAAAAGAAAACTGACTGTCCTTGTTTATATCGACTAATTTTTGATTCTTGTCCTAGACGATCTTTTGTATTAACATTATAACGAGCTTCGACAAGAAGTTGACAAAATTTTCGAAAATTACTTTCACGTGCAATTGTAAATAAAGGTGTATCAAAATATGGATGGTTCTCGCGAAGATCTTCTTCTTGTTGATTTCTAAACAAAAAAGGAAAAATACAGAATTCGTTTATCTCAAATCGTAGTTTTTTATATATTATGTATGGGAAAAATTATTTGTTAGCAATTTGGCTTCGCAAAGCATGTGCATCTCGGAATCATGAACTTTTCTAGAGAAAAAAAACTAGCGTTAACGACGTGACACGAAAAAAAACAGAATACAAACTTTCACTACATGATTTCTAATTAATTTAGAAGAACTCAGAATTAAGGTAGCACTAAATAATACATTTTGTAGACAAATCCTGAAGTCTAGAAAATCTCTATAAAAAGATTTTTTTCTGAGCATGAATAGATTTTTCCAAAAAAACCGATTTACTTTTTGTTAGCGACGTGACAGAATGCGAATACTTTTTACGAGGCAAATTTTTTCGAGTTCGATCCTGTTGTTCGCTACTTCTATTTTTTTAAATATTTTTACATAGATCTATAGTAAAAGAAATTATTCAGAAAAATAACTCTTCCAAAGAATCAAAGTCAAATGAAAGGTAGATATATTCCGTATTGCCTACAACGGCTTATTTACCGTTTTAATTCAGCTTGTTGTTTTCGATATTGAAATACTTTGATATCATACTCATCTTGATTACGACCATGTAATGCACCAATATCTCCATTTTCACGTATAACATGTACTGGTTTTGGTCGATAACCTGAACGACGCATGGAATTTCTATTCGAATATTAAAAAAAAAAAGTTCAATGAAAAGTTTAAATTAATAAATGATTTATTTTCGTTTCTTTTTTATTTCATACTTTCGATCAAGTCGAATTTTATTTTGTTGTACAAATATTGATAATTTATTATCAGCTATACTTGCTAAATGTACTTGACTAGCATCACCACTTAATAAACGTTGATTACTTGCATTTCTATAATATTCTTTTGATTATATACAAAAAAATAAAACAAAAAAATAATTTAACTAAACCTGATAATATTAGTTACAGCTGTTCGTTTCATAGTTTCGCCTGTTGGTCGATATTCTGGTGTATGTAATGTTTTAACTGTATGTTTTTTATTATATATATTCATTGAAATTTCAGGTGGATATGAATAAATATCATCTTGATTAAGAAATTGACGCATAAAACTATCACGGATTTTTGGAATCATAAAATCATGTGGTAAACGTGATAATTCAATCATTTGAGGATGATCAGGAAAACGTTCAAATACACGTAAACGCCATGGCAATATTTGTTGAGTTTCAGCACTAGCTTCACGTGTTTTTAACTAAAATAGAAAACAAAAATAATAAGAATCAAATTTAACAGAAATTCTAATAACAATCGAACATGTTTAAAGTTGTTGAAATCAATCGTTTTGTAATGAAGGCATTTCTGAGCAAAATATGATATTGAACTAAGCAGTAGATTTTACCTAAGCTTTTGTTCAAGAACTTTTTTCAACGTCGTACGGTTGGAATGAGAAAAAAGACTTCAACTAGTGCATTTTGTAGGGTATATTCTGATCTACAAGCTGATGTATACAAAAAGATCCCAACTTTTAGATACAAAATTATCCGTCCGAATAAATGTTTCAACTTCTCAAATACTATTTTACTATTCTTGAAAAAAAAACTGAATTAAAATTTCTCAGCCCATATTCGAAAAGAACAAAAACATCTTACCTATAATTCGTACTCTAACGGGTAGCACAAATTAAATAGGACAAAATCATTTCCTTCTTTTTTGTTTTAGATCACTTCGATACATTTTCAAAAAGTCATTCTATAACTATTCGATTGAGAATTTTGTGCGCTGTGATTTCACGATCTTTTCAAGGTTCTAATTGCTATCGTTCGTATGAAAAAGGCTAGAAACTAATACCTAGTGGTATTTTTGTACGCATTTCAGAAAAACCTGCTTTCCAAAATTGGACTTGGTGTATAAAATACTCATTTTTGTCTTGTCAGATGTAGAATTTAATTCTGAACAAAATAGTGTGACTGCTAAGTTGAGAAGTAAAAGCAATTAGGTTTTATCGATTGAAAAGAAGAACAATCATTTCATCCTGTTAGGCAAAGATTTTGCTTGCAAATATTTCTTCTAGAATTTGGAAACATATATCACAAGATGTAAAATTTTGTGTTATATTTGAAATTTCAGCAAACCCTTGTCAAAGAAATTTGTATCGTTTCTTTTTGACTTTTGTAATTGGATGATTAAGCATGTGTTAATATTTGAAATTTTACTTCAACAATAAAAACTTAGAAAACTAACACAAGATTTCTGTAGAGCGAAAAAGTCTCTATCGAATAACTTTCTGAAAGTACATCTGAGTGATGAGAAAAACAAACGGAAATGATTTTATTTCATTTAATCTGCACCATTGGCTGTATTCCTTATATTGAATAGCCATTATTCTTCTGTAGAGTATATAATTATTACTTAGAAAATCTTGATTGATTTCTATATTTCAAATATACATGATTTTTTTGCCTTTTTTTTCTTAGTTCTGTTATCATGCAGCACAATATAATACTCGTTATTCTATTTTCTGATGATCTGTCGAACTCTTACATTCATTTTTGTTGGTATTTACAACAGATGTGAAATAACGTTATAGGTCAAATGTAACACATCATCAATGTCTGTATTTATTACACAGCTATTAATCTACGTCAAAAATTTATCTCTTATCATTATTATTCTTTCTAGTTGATGCTATACTTAGAAATGTCCTAAATAGTTTCTTAATTTTTATGGTCTAATGATCTATTTACAATCCATAACTTCGTCTATAGTAAAAATTTAAAAAACAAGAATCTAATCTAAAACTTAAATTTCATTTTGAAAACCAAAAACAAAATAAAGCAATATGTAAATGACAAACCTGTTTAATCATTTTAACATCTTCATCAAGTTCAAGATTGTCCAAAATGACGGCAACGAAAAGTGAAAGTACAATCTAATTTAAAAAATAAATAAATCTTATATCTTAAATATAACAGCACATGAAAATAAGCCGAAACTTCAAAAACAAGACACAAGACAAAATCTAACAAAATATTCTTCATTTCGCATACCAAATTAATAGCAAGATGATAAACAATAAAATAAATAGCAACAAATGGAGCTACATCTTGAATACTATATAACATTGTATAATGCATAACATCAACCCATCCTTTTTGTGTTAAAACTTGAAACATTGATATAAATGCCTATATATGAATCATATCAACAAATAAAGCTAATCAAATTATTCAAAATGCATTTCAAAAATCACACACATATAAGAAAAAACTTTTTTTTAAAATCTCACTCATGCTCATGCTCATGCTCATACAGTATTTCATTCTTTTAGAAATAACTTACAGAATTAGTTAATAAATGAAAAAAGATAAAGAAAAGTGCTGTTAGACATAAGAAGAATATTCCAAATTCATAAACTTCGTCCATTGCTGAATACATCACTTCTGTCCAACCATCATTCATAGCAATACGAAACATAGACATAAATGCCTGAGAAGGATTTTATTTTATTATACATATATTTTTTTTTCGAACAAATACAACATCGAAAAAAAAACAAGAAACTTACACGAGGAAATGTTTCAAATTGTTTAAGACCTTTAATAAAACAAAATAATTGCATACTAATTGATGATGTTATCAATAATAAACACATTGTAAATAAAATTAAACTACCAAGTTTTTTACCCGGACCAAAAATCTTAATTAATAAAATGAATAGAAATTTTTAGTTTTGAAAAACAAAAAACAAAGATTTCATTTTTCGTTTACTTTATTAAGAAAATCTTCAAGTAAAGGACTTGATTTAAGTAGACGAGCGACACGTAGAACTTGAAAATATGTAAAATGACTTCGATAGAATGATGGAAAACAATGAAGAGTTGTTCCCACAGCAAGCATAAATTCAAATTTAAATATTGATCTTCGAATATAATTTTTAAAACCCATTGAAAAAATTTTAAAAAGTGCTTCCAAATCAAACAATAAAGTAAATAATGTCTAAAAGCAATGTCATAGAAATTTTTTTTTTGTTCTTATTTTTTTTCTAATAGGAATGTTTTATTTCTACCTCAATTTTATGATAAAGATCACGATTTTTTTTATCTATTGTTTCATTATGTGTATGTTTAATAGTTGCCGTAAAAATTGTATTAGCAAGCACAACAATCATAACAATTGTTGTAAACAATGGAGATTGTACCATTTTTAAAAAAATAGCTGGTGCTACACCTTTCTTTTTATTTTCATCTATGTTCACTAATTTTAATGTACTATCATCAGCTTTTTGAAGTATCTATAAGAATTTTGAGTTAAAATTTCAATTCAATATAAGATTGTATTTACTTTTGTTGCTTCAATATCTGATGGTGCTCCTCTTGAACCCCACATTTGTTGGAATTGAACACGAATTTCAGCGAATGTTTCAATAATAACGGCAATAAATACATTCTAAAATAAAATTTTCTTTTTTATCATGAAATTTAACAAATTTGACTTTTGAAAAACTTTCTCATTTTTCAAAGTGTTACATATTTAGAGAAAATTACAGGACGGAAAAACATATAGCACAATAATAAGTTTTTCTTTTTATGGCTGTACAAAAAATTGAATTAATAAAATCAACGATAACTCTTGACGTGTAACCTTGAAGAAAACCTTTTCTCTATTTCAAAGAGACTCATCAACAATTTTGTCGAATATTAAATCTCAAAAAAAATTATATACTCTATGTTCGTAGGCAATAGTTTTAAATTTTTTTATGAAAAATAAAATTTCGTATTTTATAGATAATATAACACTTACTTTGACGAGCCATGCAAGAAAAAAAATTAATGTAATAAAATAAAAAAATGCACGCCATGATGGAAGACTGTCAATAGCTCGATACATAAGAAATACCCATCCTTCTTGACTAGCTGATTCATAAACTGAAAAAAAACTAGTTGCTAATTCATCAAAACCATTATAACCACGTAAATTTCGTTCAATTTCAATTTTTTTACAAGTAAAATTTTCTGGACAATGAAAACCATCTTTTGTTGGCGAACAATATGTATCAGGTATCATTAAATCTGACTTTGTCACGTTACTTAAACAAGAAAAAAAAGTAAACAAATACAATAAATCGAAACAAGTAAAGATATTATTATTTTTTTCATACTTTAAATCGGTACCGTTTCTAACACAATGGAATGTAAGTGATCCAAAAAATTGTACACCTAATATGGCATATAAACTCATAAAGAATAGAAAAAACACTGTTACATTATAAATTTGTGAACTCGAACGTCTAAAATAAAAAAAAATAAAAAAGTTTACATAATTAGCAATCGCTTTTTTTTCTCAACATACTGAAGAATAGATTTAATCTGGCTTTTAGGTAATTCAAATTTGAGAAATGTTTTGAGAACTTTTATAAGAATAAATGGACGTGGAGAACGAATTAGTGTAAAATATGAATATTTATTTATAATACCAATTAATTCGAATGTCTATAAATAAAAGAAAAATTAGAAATTATGATTAAAAAAAACGGAACAAAAAAAAAAATAATAGAAAAATTTTACTTGTAAGATAATAGAAATATAGATGTTTAAAACCATAATAGCATCAAAATGATTCCATCGATCACGTAAATAAGATGAATCCCCCCTTAATATTCCTCGAGTTTTCATTTTTGCAGCTGCTTCAATTGTTAATATAATTGCACAAGTTATATCGATGATAAATGTTGTATATTGAAGATATGGATGATATTCAAATGTTTTTGGTGTATTCATACATGTTGAAATAAAACTTAAAAGACCAGTAAGACGAAATATGTATTTAGCTAATGGTTTATTCGTCCATTCAAGATTACCACCCGTTGAATCTTCTTGGTTATAATCCATTAATGGAACAAAATCGCTACGGAAACTTTGCTTTCTCATCAATGTTATCATTGATGAAATGGCAGCGCCAGCCGATGAGGCTGCTGCTGCCATTCTGTTTTCTTATATTATTTGTCTACAAGAAAAAGACAAAAAGAAAAACCTCGACCAATTGATGATTAGTAAGATATACAAAGCAAAGAGAAAGACAACAAAACGAATTGTATGTGATCTTATATGGACAGAAGGAAGATATATTTTGGCTCGTGATTTTCTATTATGTGTTATTCAGAATTATATGCAGAAAGCGTTACAAGGATATGAAATAAACGAGAATCTCTCTTGAGTCAAGTAGCACATGCTGTCGTTGTCGTCTTTTGACAACTATAGAAGATGATGATGACATCGTTTTTGTTTCTCGTCGTCTTTTTCTTCTTTTTTTTTTTATTTGCTTCTTTGCAAACAAGAAAATGCAATGTGCACTAGATAATTTTAGTCGTATTCGTCAATTGACTTTTCTCTTTTTCCCACAATCTTCTTCTCTATTCTCTATTTCCTCTTAGACGAGTCTTGTGGGACATTACATCACGTAGAATAATGTCGACTAGTACGCAAGGGAGAATTTTAAATTGAATCTTTATGCTACGGACAACAGGAAGTAACTTGTCTCGATATATTGCAATTTACATGTTTCTCACTAATAGCACGTAAAAAAACAGGTCAGGATAATAAGCTGATCCGTACTAGGAGGTCAACCAAAACAACAATTGTGCTAAACATACATTTGACGTGTCTATCATGTTTGCATGTCGTATCTCATTACCTTTTTCTGATATTTATATACAGATATATATATATATAAATATATGCAAAAATATGTGAATCGATTGGGATCGTATTACAAGTTGCTTTCATAGTCTTACTTTAATACATAATGTTATATGTTCTTAGGGGTCTTTTTTATTTCTGTAATTGTTCTAGTTCTGATATGACTGACTACTTTAAAATTTCATAAAACAAACAAAACAATAGAATTACAAAAGAAAATCATAGTAATAGCAAGCAGTAGACTTTTGTTGCTTCAGACACATAATTAATAAACACAGATATATATATATATATTTACAAAGAACGATAGTAATGAGAGTCATAAACGAAGGAAAAAGAGAAAGGAAACGAGAAAATAAGAAAGAGTGTTAATTTTCTTTCATGTAACTCGTTATTTCTCTTTGCTTTCTCTTGTCCGGAACGTGCTACATTGCTTGAAAGAAGAAACGTAAAAGTAACTGATGAACAACTTACATAAACACATCCATAACATATAGAAGCAACTATCTATCTTTCTATCGTCATTTCTACTCGTATGTAATGTTAGTTGAAGAAGCATTACAAGCAAAAGAAATAGATGTGAACGTGCATGCATGTAACAGAAAATGCAATAAGACCAAGCAGATTCTCTCCATCCTGTGAGTGGTGATGGCAATTACACGACGAATAGTATTGAAAGAACAAGAAGAAGACGAGCACAACATAGATTGTATCTGAATAGTAGCCGTAGAACTGTGTGAAGAGGAACGAAGAATAGAAGAGATAAAGAAGAAAATCTATCTGTCTCTCGTGACAAAGTTACTATACAAATCTAAAAGATGGATAGACGGGAAAATTACAGAAATATATAGTTGCAGTTCGATGAGGCATAACACTAGATATATATATACAATTATATATGTTGGCAGTGAAGCAATGCTTATATTGAACTCTTCATTATTTTCTCATTTTCCTTATCTTTTTGTCACTCATTTTACAGAATATTACTGATAGCCAAAATAGAATACTATTGTAAATTAATAAGTTGAACCAGGCATGAAATAAATATATCGTTGCCTGTTGTCTAATTCTTTGGAAAAGAAAAACTGGCATCTTTCTTTTTTTTTTTTTTTTACTCTAGACATACAATAAACTTGATAATAATCATGGCATACAACTTTGAAGATTTTATCTTTGAAGTTAAAATAAAAAATATTTAAAAGCTAAATAACTCTTTTTTTTTTGCTTTCTTTGTTCTCCGAGTTTTTTTTTTTGCCTTCCAGATGTTATTCATTCATTCAGTCTATTGTTGAACAAACCACTAGTGTTGATTGCATAGTAATTTTGCATCGACAATTAACGAGTACGAGAAAAAGAAGGAAATACGCATCAATCATTTTCTTTTTTTTCGCCGATGATAGCCATGCAAAGAGTCAAATGTTAAACATAATCGAAGAATCAATTCTTTACGCTGCCTTTATACAATGTAATCGGAATGCATCACAATATGTTTTATTATCATAAATATTGCACAAATCAATATCTATAAATAACAAAATCTTTCATTGTATTTGTCTGAATAAATAAAGAATATATTAGAATATTCATTATTGATGACTATATTAATGTATAATATTCAACTAGATTCTAGTGACATCTATAATATTTGACTGATGAATGGTTGGTTACATTTAACCAACAATTGGATTAGGAACGAAACAAAAAAGTACATAAAGCATGTATTATCTGCATAGATTAATTGATCTTCAATAAAATTACTGTTTTTGTCTTTTAGAGAAGATCTCTATATACACATAGAGAGAATCGAAAGGAAAAACAATGCGATGCATAGCTGCAAATCGATCGGTACTCACAGCACTTGATCAAAATACAACACTCGCTGATCATGACACAAACAATTGTACAGCAACAACAAATGATATTGATAATATGGATATAATTCAATTTGCTGATGGTTGGTATTCTTATCCTGATCTTAATACATTTGACAGTGATATACTTCTTGCTACACTTACACTTCGAGTAAATATACTTATCTTAATATATACATTTTTATATTCAATTGCTTTCTATAGAATATTAAACCATCAAAAGCTATATCTCCATGGAATATGAAATTAGAAAATTCTACTGGGCTTCTTCTTACGGAAATTGGTATGTGTTTAATGAAGGATCATTTTTCTTTTGATTTTTTTTTCATATAGTTAAAATGTTTTCTTTTCTTTTTTTTGTATCTAGGCACTCGTCAATTGGAAGCATTGTTTAATTTGTCACAATTACTATTTGGCTTAGCTCGAGCGGAACAATCAAATTATACATTTCGTGATTTACAATTAGGTAAACCAGCACGACAATTTCGTGACCTATTGATTTCTTTGTTATTTTTCAACTTCTTGTTAATGATATACTCAAATCAGGTGCTATTGATATTGTTTATATGATGTACAAAGTAACTTTCATATATTATTGTTATCATCTTTTTAATGCTAGTATATTGTTTTTATTTTATTTTATTTTTGTTGCAAAGGATCCTCGCATTCGATGTGTTAAACAAAAATCTCTTGATTTATTAACAAATGTAACAACAATAAATGAAGTTGCATATTTTATTCTTGATCGTTATTCACAATTTCTTATTCAACTTATACAAGGTATTCGTGATGGACATTTAATTGAAGAAAAAATACCATCATTATCTGTTCTTATACGTTTATGCAAAGTTATTGTTGAAAAAAATCTTCTTAATTATTATCAACATTTAATTGATATGCAATTTATTGATATATTAATTGATTTATTTGAATATCAACAATATAAATCAAATGATATAATTATTTATTTTATTAAATTTGAATCACTTGCACTTCAATGTCTTTATATTATTTTACAATGTGCTGAACATGTTGATATGTGGTCTGAAAGTATGTTTTACATAATTTAACAATTAATATTTTGTTAATTATGATTTTATTTTTGTAAAAAATACTATCTACAAAGAATGCTGAAGTAAAGAGGTAGAAATTCGATAATAGAAATTGCTTTCATTTTCGAAGTAATGACCGCAAGGGAAAGAGCGATACTCATCATAACTAGGTCCTTACTGCAACAGACGACCTGTCACCAAGTCGTCGCAATCCTATTTACGTTCCAACAACATTGTCTCGTTATTTTTATTTCTCACGAAGCTGTAAGACATTGGCAGAAAGTATTAAGAATTTTCATAGAAGTTTGTAATATTTCCTTATTGTATGTCTGGGTGATTAAGTAAAAGAATAATGAAGAAATGTATCTCATAAACAATCTTCCTGTGATTAGAAACAGCTGTTATATTATGTTTTCATATATTAATCTTGCAAGAATTGTTGCTAACAGCTTTGTTTTTATTTGTTTTATTGCTAGAAGCTCAAATACGTCTAGTAAATTATTGTTGTACACTTTTGTACAAGTCAATTTTGGATGATGATAAAGATAATTATTCCCGACGAATGGAAATAAATCATATAATTTATGCAGAACAACATAAAATAATTCATTCATTATGTTATAGTATATTAACGTTTTTAAGTATTGTTCGATGTCGAAAAGAAATTGGAAGATTCTATCGTGAAAATGAACATTTTCGAGAATTACTTAATGCTATGAGACATAAATATAATTCTCGAAATGAATATTCATCTCGTGATTCATCAATTTCTTGTGCACTTAATCAACTTATTGATAGTATGTTTGATCGATATGAACGAAAAAAACGTAGAAACTATCATCAATTACCTACAAAAGAATATCTACGTCATCAAATACAAGATGAAGATGAAGAGAATAATGAAAATCGACAATATCGCAAATGTTCAAATTCTTTGTGTCAAATGATTGAAAATGATGTAAGCTATTTTTAAATAACTTCATTTTTATTTTTTTTTAATGTTTTTTTTTTTAAGCAAATAAAATTTGAAGATTGTCCTTATTGTCATAAATTGTTATACTGTAGTCAGTATTGTCGAGAAGTTCATTGGACATTAAATCATAATTTATTGTGTCGACCTATAAGTTCTGACAGAAAAAAAGAAGAATCGACTGTACTATATAAAATGGATGAATTTTCTGGCAGAACACAAATAGATTATCAAAAGAAAAAGACAACATCAATGGCTTATAACTCGGCATTCGAAACATTACCAGTACAAATATCACATCCAATCATTGAAGCAACAGCGGAGATTACTAATGATTTGTGTTATCCATCATCGTCATCATCTTCGAATGTCAAAAAGAAGTCGTTAAAAACTCTCTTATCACTTCTTCGTGTTAGCGGAAAACGACGTTGAAGGAAAAACAAAAAAGAATACTAATTGTTATTTTTAGTAATCTTTTTGTACAATTGAATTTATTTTTATACGAAAAATTGTATCTATTCAATCCTTGTAAAATAAACGTTATGTTTTTGACAAATCAAAAAAAGACATTAGTGAATTTGTTCTTGTTATTTGTTAGAGTTAAACTTGATAGATGAGTCAGAGTATTCGTTTTAGTGATGGTATATTAATTAAGAATAAATGCTGATGATACAACAATAATAGAAAATGCTTTTTTCAGTATCACTATTTAATAAAAATATTGTGCTTTTATATTTATTGAGTTGAACAGAAAAAGCTTTAAGATTCCCTAAGAAAAAGTCGATTTCTGTCAGAAAAATCGAAATTCAGGTGATAGCTCGAGTTCTATTCTTGCATGAGTGATATGTTTTTCTGATCACGCATCCAATATCTTGACCAGAATCGGGTGTGAGTGGATACGACAGACAAAGTTATCAACATCCATTTACACGTATACCTTCATCCGCAATCTATTGTGATCCGACAGAAATTTTTGCAAAAATAAGATGAAGGTGAAGAGAATTATCAGCACGTGACAGGAGGCTAAAAGCTATCATCATGCGGCACAATGATACTTTTAAAGGTCAGATCATTTGTCAAAATGTCCTTTCTCAATCAATTCTCATACTATCATGAGTACTTTAAGCACCACAAGCATTTCTTTTTATGACAACAATCATTTTCTTAATCTTCCAAATATTATGATAATTATTGAACTATTATTCATAGAGTTAATTTTAAACATTGATAAGACGATATTTTATTTTTCAATTTCCAACAAGCGACATTGTGTAACCACCTGTCTAAATGACTCAGATTGATAGTTATAAGGATTCACTGAATCTACATTTCATGCTATTCATCAATCAACCCAACTATTCATGATTAATGAGTTTTCTTCTACTGCTCTTTTTGACCACTGTTTGACCAAACTCACGCTTGCGAGATAGTATTTTGTGCGTTTGGAGTATCAGTCATGAGAATTATTTCAATATTAATATCATTCAATTCTAAAGAGTTTCTGAAGTTTTTTATTATCATCAAGAGACACTGTTAAAATAATCTAGTTTTTAATATTGATCGAAGCAATACTGCTATCTATTAGGTGCCTTTTTATGTACTTTTGATATTCTTCGTTGTAATCATGTGTAAAGAGAAGCACTAACCACATTTATTTTTCAAACTTGTCTGATTTAGTAAAATAAAGAATGAAAGCTCTCATTTTTGTTGCGTATATACTCTCTCATTCTGACGCAGCGAGTAGCTTTTTAATAATGGACCTGCAGCAATGCTAATTTTGTGTTCAAGTTTTTTTTTCTCCAGAATTTTCTGTGTTTCAAGAAATAACATTCTAATGATTCAGAAAGCAAGCATGATTTTTCAAAAGATTCTTTATCCGAAATTCATCACTTTTACAGAGTTAATATTGGACATTCTCTTTCACTTGATAGATTTTGTGCTTCTCATATATTGTATAAGTCTCAAAAGAAGAAGAGAATTCCCAGATATTAACATATACGTAGTTACTATTTGACGACAAATCGGTATAATCTAACATTTAAGCCTCAATCGAAGAAACCAAATAAAGAACTGACAGAATACAATAGTGAATTCTCATTCTGCTATGATTTCGAAACAATATTCGTTTCTGATTTGTTAAAAAGAACATTTGCAAGTTGTGAAGTGTTTATACTAAGTTCCCTTTTATCAATGACTTCTGTAGCACATTTTGCAATAGATTTACACATCTATAAGTTGTTGGTTTTCTATTGAAATCGGCTCTCATAGTCCTACATTGATATGAAGAAAATTAAACGCATATTGGATTAATATGATCCGAGATATTTTAGAAGATCAGTAAATGAAAAAAGCCTTGATCATAGGGATATTCTAGTTCTTTATTCCACCAACTATGTAAACAACCAACAAGATTACCAAGATGGGATAGGTTCATAATCATTTCAGGTTGTTATATAATGCACTTGCTTGATAATATGCTTGACTAAAGTCACAGCTCTGCATTATTGGATTTGATTGATATTACATAAATTGTTAATCGTGCAAGCAATTTGACTTCGGCACGCAACTCCATCGACGAAATAACGATTCCTGAAAATTTCATTCTATATCGAAAACAATAATTTCCTTGCTAGACATAATTTTTTGTCATCAATGCACATCTCGGTTAAGCTCATCTTATGCGCTGCAGCACTCCTGGAGATAAAGATGTCTGTAATTACTTCAGTTGAGCTTCGTGCGCGACAATTGGCGAATCAAAATGCACTAGCAGCAAGTAGGATACTCTGAATTGTTTTTCTCAGAACTCAATTTCAACTATTTTTTAGATGGAGCAGTAGAACAAGATAATACTAGAACTACTTTATTAATAGAAAAATGCTAATAGTCAGGTTTCAGAAAAAGGAACAAGAGATTCTTCTTGAGGGATAGGATGCATAGGTCTTAGCTAATCGATTGCTCACTTAATTTCATAGCATTTAATTTTCTATTCAATACGATAGGAAATGAGGATTGAAGAATAGGACGAGAACGTTTGAGTTTTTTCCTCTGTTACAGATGCTCCTATTTTCGAAAAAGCTAAAAGAAAGATGAAGAGGTCACTGATCGAAGGAATGAACTTTCATGTGTTGAAAAGTAAAAGACAATCATATATTCATCTATATGGAACACTTGTTTGATGAATGATTTTTTCATGTTCTGCTTATGAAAGAACGAATGCAATGTTTTAGTAGCTTTTACTGTCTGACTATTTCCGTTGAACGGAAACTTTGAAGGAGAAAGTCAAGTGAAAATTTTAGGTGCAAGTTGATATTTAATTAATGTTGATGTGCCGTAAAAGATAAGTTCTCCTATGTTGGAAGGTTTCTTCCTATCTGCACCTTTGAGCTTCAAATTGATTAGCAGCTGTGTTGAACAATTTCCACTGGTTTCATATGCAATATCGGGAGCTTTTGAGTTTCTATCGAGACTCGGATAAAAATGCTGAGTAGTGCAGCATTTTACAACAATAAAAGAATATGTTCTAAATATCAATCAGATTTATTGTTCATAGTTTATAAATGATGCTTGGTGAACAACTTTCCATTTATCTTCACGAAACTTCGTGGATGACACTGGGAAAGACTACAACAAGAACAGCTTTGCCAACAATTCGAATAATGACTACATCAGTCACAACAACAATGGCAATAGAACCCACTTCAACAACATCAATGATTAGGACAACAACAGCCAGCCAAAAAACAAGTGAATGTGATAAGAAAGACTGTTCTTAAAACTTTCGATTCTGCAAATACTCCATTTTACTTTTAGGAACTTCGCTCTATGATTTATTGCTCTATATATGTATCTCACCATGATGACTGATACTCTAAAACGCAATCATGCTGATGAGTGCATATGCAGTTGATAAATATTTGGTTAATATTCAGTACTTCTCTGAAGGAACAGTTTAGAATATTAACATAGCTATCAACCCCATATTTCATACTTCCTTATCTCTCTGACAGATTCAATAAAAAACTACTATTCAAAATCATAAAAAGCTATAAATGCAAATTTAAACAAATCTATCGGGTTGTGTTTGTCATATTTTGTCTCCAATGGCAATGAGAATGACATTGTAGTGATTTAATGTATTCAAAGATGACTCAATGTAGATTTTACGGTGTCCGAAGGTACAAATGTTTAAAGTGCACACTATAATTTTCCTTATGACCTACTGAAGAAGTTATATTTTTCTTTGATCACTCTATTGTGAAGAACAGATCATTGATTTTTCGTGTTCCTCTTGCATGCAACTGATCAAATCAATTGGATTTTGTTGGACTATATACAACTAGAATTGTAGGAAGAAAAGAAATAATGGAACGCTTCACAATTTCGCTAAAATCTTATCTTAGATACAACATACAAGATTAACTGACAAAAATTTAATAACTAGATGCTTTCAATAACTATTTCTGATGTTATTTGAACTATTTCGTTGTTGAACATAAGCTCTAACCTTTTTAAATTTCAATTGTAAGATAGAATAAAATTACAAGAGAAATTATACTATCAGTGAGAGTCTCAGTTGTTAGAACAAAAAATAAACAAAGAGTTCTTTTCTTCGTCTTTAACTGTTCTGGAATAGAAGTGTTTTCATAACTGACACTTTGAATATAGAATTCACTTTTACCATCATTTGCTTTTTTCTTTGGCTAGCCACTACAGTGTACAGGCAATCAATTTACTCATCCGCATTGACTACCTCTAGTCCTACATATTGTCGTGCTTATGCTCTATGTTCAGTGGAAGACCAATACTACTATGAAGCAATTCAGATCAGCGTATCCACAACTAGCAAATCATTCGATAAAGAGTAGTAGTAATATGGATACATATGGATATATCTTAGAGAACAATTTCAATTCTACGTCGACTATGAATTTAATACTATATAATGATGAACATTAGTTTTCAGGCGGTCATGCCCTACATTCTGGTTGCAACAACATTTGCAGCAAGCATGATAGGACCATTCTTAATTGTCGCAAGGGGTCCAGCATTGCTTCAATTTCATGGAATACTTTCAAGCAAGAGATCGATCTATTCGAAAGTGTTTCTTCTATGAAGTAAGACCATTGTATTCAACTAAATAGCTTGAGTCACATAGACAACGTGAGTATTTCACCTTAGAATCATTTTCACGACATGCAGAAGAAGTGATAACCACTATACAGAACGTGTACTCTGAATTTTTCGACTGCTCATATATGTGACCTTTTGGAAATAGATATTTGATTTGAATTCATCAATATTCACATCTTAGCCATATTAGGAATCTCGATCAATAACATTAACTGACTTGTAATAAGGATTTTGATAAGATTAACTCATCTCAATCGGTACAAATAAACAAGAAATTATTAGTGCACGATATGTGTAAATTA